AATGTCCTACAAATTTTCCTAAGTCCACACTTTTGAAAAAATGACAACAGCCGGAGGCTCACATATCACCCAACAACCGAAGGCATCTATTACAAATCATCAAAGGCCAACCAAGGGGGAATATTCCAAAATAATGTCGCCCTCGGGAAATCTTAATTGGAAAATACTGCTAACCGAAGGCTACACTGGGAAGCAACACTTAGAAAATTTTCTAAGTCCTGAAGATTGAGCCCCCGGCCTGATCAATATTTCAACGGAGGGACCATGATAGCCGAAGGCTACGTGATGCAACAGCACTTAGAAAATTTTCTAAGTCCTACATATTTTTCCCTCGGTCAACAGCTACTTATACATCAAGGAGAAGGATATCACCCCGGAGGCTTCCGATGGGAAACCACGCTTAGGAATTTTTCTAAGTCCCAAAGATTGGATCCTCAACCTGATCATCTGATAACTAAGGACATGCGGTGGCCGAGGGCTACTTGACACCATGCATTTGGAAGTAAGGCTAAGTCCTAAATATTTGGCCCTCGGCCAAATATCCACGCAACAGGAAGGTTCACCCAATGATTCGAGGGCTCCTATCAGGACCACTCGGGGGCTCAACATCTGAGATCCACTTAGAAAATTTTCTAAGTCCTAAATATTTGCCCCTCGGACAGACTCCTCACTGACCGAAGGTTCAACATCTACAACACACTTAGAAAATTTTCTAAGTCCTACATATTGGACCCTCGGTCCAATATTCACACATCAGGAAGGAGGCTACCAGCCGAGGGCTTCCAATGGGAAACTACACTTAGAAATTTTTCTATGTCCTAAGGATTGGGTTCTCAACCTAATCATCTCACAGCAATTGAACTACAAACACCCGAAGGCCCTATGGTGGGCTACACTTAGAAAAAATTTCTAAGTCCTAAACATACATTCAAAGGAGGGCGAAGGCATACATTCAAGAAGAAATGAATTAAAGAAACCAAGCCATATATACAAAGCCCGAAGGCAATCATTCATTCATCAAAAAGAAGGGATTCCAATGTATATGTTACAATGTATGGCCGAAGGCCGAGGGCATTCAAACACTCATTACAGAGGGATTGTTCAAAACATGTTAAATTAAGAAATTACAGATTAACATTCACGGGGGCCGTCCCTTCCGCAGGCTTCGAAGTGACCTCTGTGCCGTCCTCAAGTTCGTCACCTTCGGCTTCCTTCATGAGCTCTGTATCCTCTAGGTCTGGCCTCTCGACATCGGAGGGGAGAGGAACGCGGACGTCTGGCTGCAGGGGGGGAAGCCCGTATGCCGCCGGGTCGAAGTCCTTTGGCTCAATCTTCAAGTGGCGAGCCATCCTCCGGTAGATGAGGGCTTGGGTGAAAAACTCGCCCCCATCATAATATTGTTTACCCTTTCGGGAAACCCACTCCACACCGGGCCCATCGCACCACTCGTCGACCGAGGACAGCCATTGCTTGTGCTCCTCAGCCCGCCACCCCTTTACCAGGAACCCCGAGATGGCGTCCCCTCGGGCTCTCTCGACGGCCTCCACCTTCACGGTCTCGGCCTCCATCTTGGCGGCCTCGGCCTCCCTGGAAGCTCTCTCCAGGGCCTCAGCTGCGGACCTCTCAGCCTCCGCCCTGCCCCGATCTGCGGCCTCCGCCCGCAGGGTCATCTGCCGAAGGCTCTCCTCCAGCATAGCCATCTGCCGGACGGCATCGGAATTCTGGTGGACGAGCTCCCGCATCTTGGCGTCCTGCTCGGCCTTGCGAAGGCGCCACTCTTCTAGCCGCCGGGCCTGCTCTCCGAGGGCAATGCAGGTCTACAAAAATAAGGGGGTTAGGAAAGCCGTACATTATTTCCTGACTCAAACAAAAAACGGTAAACTGTCAGAAGAAACTTACCGTGAGGGAAGATCGAAGGATCCTGTCCTCGAGGGCTTGGTCATCATCAGCCCCGAGGGCTGCCCTGTCAATATCGAGGGTAATACCTCTCAGAAGCGCCCTCGGGTCAGCTGTGCCATTCATCACGGCCGTACCAGCCGGGAGGGAGAGCGTAAGGACCTCGGAAGGTGGCTCCCGGACACCTCCCGGCACCTTCGCCACCGGCATCTCCTCGTGCACCCCGGAGGCGGGGCAATCATCAACAATGACCACCGGGGAGACTTTCTTCCCGGCATCCCCGGTCTTGGGCTTCTTTCCCTCGGGAGCTTTGCCCGTGCCTTTCCTCTTGGCGGCGGTAGCCGCATCAGCACTTGGGGCCGCCGATGGCCCCTCCGGCTTCTTGAAGAAGTCACCGGCGGGTTTCGGGACACCAGTGTCCGTCCCCCTCGGGGCCTTGGAGGGTTTTTTCTTCTTCAGATCAGCAAGCCCCTTGACGTTCATCATATTCACTGGGATACCTGCAAAAACAATGAGGGATTAAAATTGAGGGGTCACTAACAGATGGCACAAAGAATAAACAAACAAGCAAATGAACTATGTGCTAAGATATGAAAGTGAGAGTGCCCTCAGCCACTACCTCCGGAGGCTCCCTCAAACACCGGTAACTTCTCATCTGTTTCCCCCCAGGAAGCGATACCGCCGGAACCCGAGGGTGTAGAGATCTTCCTCTTTGGTGCACTCCTTAATGGTAATATTTTTGTCTCGGCCCTCCGGGATCGTGGCCAGAATCCTGCCGTCTTTCTCGAGGGCGGCGCTCCTCCTCTTCTCGTGCCTCCTGAAACGGTCACGCAACTCCCTCGGGAAGGGGCTCTCGGTCAGCTTCAGGTAGCACCACCGGTCCTTCCACCCTTTGTTCGAGGAGGGCGCCTCAGTGAAGAGCTTGAACATTGCCACCTGTTACAAGTTTGCGAAGCCCTCGGCATTCGCATGCCCCCCCCCCCCCCGGCACAGATTGAAGCTCTGGAAGAAGAGGTCCAGGCTAGGTGTCACCCCCGGGACTTGCAGAGCTGGAGGAAGCCAGTAATGTAGGAATGGCTGTTCGGGGTCAGCTGGCAGGGGACCAGACCCACGAACCGGAGGTACTCCCGGAGGAAAGGGTGCAGGGGGAAGCGGAGCCCCATGGACACCGAGAGAACGTGCACCGCAATACAGCCCTCGGGAGCCCGGGAGAGGACGTCATCTGGACCCGGTGTCACCACGATGGCCGAAGGGCCCACGTGAAGCTGAGTGACGTAGATGTCCGCCGCATCAGCCTTCGACCTTATTTCCAAGGCGGCGGTGTTCAGGTAGGAGTACCCCTCGGGCATATCGAGGGGCTTCCCTTGATCTGCAACGCTGCCCTTCTTCTTGGGAGCAGCTACCTTGGCCTTCTTCTTTCCGGGGGCCACCCGGATGGGAACCGCGTTCAGCGGCCGAGAGGTGCTGGCCTCACCGGCACCCCGAGGGGGGAGCATAGCAACGGTGACCCTCGCGCTTTCTCTTTGCGCCTCTTCTTCAGCTGCTTGCCAGGCTAGGGCCAGCTCTTCATCCTCACATTCTTGCTCGAAGCCCTCGACTTCCGCCTCAGCAACGAGGGCTTTCTGCAGCTCCAGGGCGACGGCGGCATCCTGTCCCACCGAAGACTGTGCACTTGAGGACTCCACGTCCGAAAAAACTTCATCCCCCACCAAGGGCGCCCCCGAGATGTCCTGGGAGTCACTCTGGGACGACATTTTGGCTCTGGTTCGAAGGCTCGTAGACGCTAGTGTTTTCTAAAAACTCTATCTCCTAGCCTAAGGGCACATGACAACTAACTAAAGAGGTGAAGTGCGAGTGGAGAACTGACCTGGGAATAAGAATTTGATCGAGGGCTGTTGTTTCGCTCTCTAGGAAAAATTCGGCAGAGCTTCACTAATAAGGTTTCGCACAAGGAGGAGTGCCCGGCCTTGGGGTATTTATAGGCGTTGGAATCTGGGCCTCCGGTTGGACTGCCATCATTACAGACCGCGGTATCGCCCAATCGGTGACGCCCGCCCACGGGCGGCCAACGAGCACGCACCACGTGGCAACCCCCCCCAACGGCTATATCCTGACGTTACATATTCCAACGGCTATATTTCCAACGGCTATATTTTGGGAGCCCCCGGGTTTCTTGCTTCACTCCGCTTCATCAGGGAAAGCCTCCGGGTACACTTACCCAGAGATGCCCCCGGGTTGTACCCCACACAGTACATAACAGACGCCTTCGGGATCACTCCTTCAGAAGCCCAAGGCTTCATATCAGGCCACCCCTCGGGGATCCCCCCTCAGCTTTGTGAGGGCCGGGTAACACTAAGATATGAGGAGGTTGTGCGATTATTAATAAAAGTGTGCTTACATGATTTACAATAAATTTATAAAGTAAAAATAATTTAGGACTACACAAACTTTATTAAATTTAGTATGCGACAATTTTAGTAATATGAATTGAAAAAGAAATACTCCATAAGAGACAATGTTAGCCGAATGGAGTGTGCATCACACAATGTTCTCTACAATAGAATTTACTCCTTAATAATGGGGAAATGTCAGGAAGTTAAATGAAAAAAATACTTCATCCGTTCCGTTAAGATTATCTCATTTTACGTTTTTGCTCCATCCCACTAAGATTATCTGTTATCAAATTTTGTAAAGTTGTGTGACTCTAAATCATTCTTACTTTATTAATTCAATATCAACCACATACATCATTTTTTATTAGTTTATGTGTCACTCGCTCTTGTTCCATTTTTAATGGGAGAGGGAGTATATTTTTAAAACAACCTTGCTATAGGTACCCCATTTTGTACCCCAATTTGTACACCAACCTATATTTGTGGCTCAAAAAAGCCACTTCAATAAATGAATTGCTCCAATTTAAAGAACTGCTTTTGTGAGCCACAAAAATAGGGTGTTGATACAAATTGGGGTACCTTTAGCATTTTTGTTTTTAAAATGCGTGCAATTCAAAGTGTTTTTATAGGGACAAAAACAAACAATTCAATAAAAAACAAAAAACGATTTTGAATTGTAAACGGACAAGGTACAGACGCAGGCCAACACAGGCAACGGCTATCTCCAACACACCCGACCCGACCCCAGCGTCTCTAACAATCTCCACCGTCAAATTCCAAACACTCACCGGATTTGCGACTTCCCTCCCTAATGTAACATTCAAAATAGGAAGATGGTTCGAACTCCAATCCATTAATAGCCGCGGCCGCTTCAATCGCCCGATTCAGCCTTAATCGCCGCCTTTATGAAGGAAGAGGACGATTACCATGAAACCAGCTTCGGCTCATCTGCATTCTCCAAGCGGCCGCCATCCCTGGTCTCACTCTCTCCTTTCACCCCTGCACCGTCCCCGGCCCCTCGCCGCCTCTCCAGCTCCTTCTCCCAACCCAGCGAGCCCGTCAGGGTCAAAAGGCAGCTCGCATGGGTATCCCTGCAGGGACGCCTCGTCGGAGCAGAGGAAGCAAGTTCAGCTAGGGCAATCGGCGGTGGATTGAGTCCGGAAGAAGCTCTGGCTTGGGACCTTTTCACTCCCATTCAACGGGTTCTTGTGGTTGCTGTTATTGCCGTGGCCACTGCTAATTCGAAGAAAACTAAACGCATATCTCTGCTTGAGAAGTCTGTTCAACTAAGGGTTAGTCTTTCTTTAATGTGTACAAACGTGGCAACATTACTTACTTCCTCAAAGTGGCTGTGTGCATTCTTTTAACTTATATCAAATGCAGTCCTAAACCCTAAAAATGTCATTTTTAAAGACTGATCATTGTGGATTTGACTCTTAATTTAGGATTTTGTTTAATTTGTGATTTATTATAAAGTTCTACTCTTCCTAAACTATGCGTTATGAATGGCTAGGTAACATGTATATTTTTCAGTTGTATCTTCTTTTGAAGTACAGATACAGAGTACTAGAGATCTGAAAACTTTTACAGTTCAATTTCAATTAAATACAAGTACTTATTAGGGTCAGTCTTGGTTTGTCATTATTTGTGCAGCGTTTTATTATATCATGTGGCACTGATTGGCCATAATAATAAATGCAGTTTAGTATAATAAATGCTGAATTCATGTGATATTTTCTTCAATCAAGAACGGTTGTACTGTTTTCAGGATGAGGTGCTTTCCAGAATGCAGGAGAAGCTTGATAATTTATGCGAGCAGGTCAATTATTTCAAGGACCAACCTGAGCCTGCTGCTAATATTTGCTGGCTTTGTGAGGAACACAAACATTTGCCTAAACATCTATCCATGGTAATCACAAGGAATATTACTACTGCTTATGTTTCCCACATTTATGTTTATTTTAGAATTGAGCTTGGTTTAAGTGCTGTGAACTTTCACTTCAGCAGAATGGTTCAGCAAGGAAGTTGTCAATGGGCGAAGAAGAGGAGTTATTATTGAATGAAGCAGAACCAGAGGAGCGCCGAATGTCTGATTTGTCAGACATGGCTCCTAGCGTGGCTTCGTCTGCTGATATTCAGGTAATTGGATTCCATGAACACGTTTCAAGCCAATTACGGAAAAGTATCAATTGTGAAATGGATGCTAACGCTAAGAACTGAGTAAAATTTAAATATTGAAACAAGTAAAATTTATATTGGTCTGTTTAAGCTACATTTTTAATTAACAGTGCACAACATCAGCAAGGGATCTAATTAGATTTGTTATTCTGTCAAACAACTATTATTATGCTAATATTTTAAATTAAAATCTATGAATGTATTGTACAATTAGGGCTTTTCCTTTCCACATTTTGTGCACATTTTCTCGATGTTCGTTGGGTTGTTTCTTGCAGGTGAACACTGCAACAGTTCATCATGCTATCTTTAACCTCCGGCGCAACTGTGAAGAAAAGGATGCAACCATACATAGGCTATCTGCCTGTTTACAATCATCTGAAACTCTAGGTTCAAAGGTAACATGCTGAGAGCCTGAGATAAGCCACTATTTTTTCCTTGATATCATTCATTCCACTTACCTTTTGCTTCACTCTTTTGTATCAGAGGATCGCAGAGCTAGAAGAAATCATCTGTAGGAAGAATATGATCATTTCCGAACTGAAAAAGGAGATATCGGTTTTACACCAGAAGGTGAGTCTGATATGACAATATTGCTGTGAAAACATATTCTTTTCTAGTGGACTGATTATGTGAAAGTAACATGATGTACCACTCTCACTGAGCAATGTTTTCACACTAAACAGACCACTAAACATAAACCTTAAAGTATATCTTTTGCAATGAGGTAGCTATTAACTAATCCATAATTGAAATCTGCTTCTGAGGTTAACTATGTTGGATGCAATCAAGTCTATATTAAAGGATATAAAAATGCCAAAGTTCTTTTGAAACGGAATGCTTTGGATGTTTCATTGTGAACAGGTGTCCAACCTGATAAGAGTACAACCAAAACGCTCTTTCTCAACAGTTCCCAGCCCAAGCAACATGCATCATCCTGTTTTGACAGATAATATTATCTATGATATGGATAGCACGACTAGCCCTTCGTCTTCAGATTCAGATAACTCTCCAAGGATCAGACCCCAATCTGCTGCTACGTATGTTGAGGCTACACCCAATAATAACATGGAGAAAGCTAGAAGGAAAAAAGAGCAGAAATTGGTTCTGGAGAAGAAACCTGCGATAGTGAATGTGACAGAAAGGCATCTTTATTCCAGGCCAGTGAGCCCTTTGAGTGAAATCTCTTTGAATAATTCCGGCAGTTCTATTACCAGTTCAAATTCAAAACAAGCTTCTTCTAGAATAGAACTTACTAGCAGGAGGAAACCCCCTGTCAGGCCCAAGCTTACCAGTCATCAGAAGAGATGGGTTTAGCAAGTACATAAAAAAAGCTAAAGAGTGCTTGTATTGTATCTTGAAGTTATTTATCAGTTCGTCACTTTTTCTAATTATCATACAGATATGCAGATATATACCAGTGACGATGGGATATATAAAAATATTAAACCGAACTTTAGGCCTAAATTAACGGATACTAATAGAGGGATTCAGGAAAATATGTTGCACAGGAGATGAGTGTTTTGGAACAATAAATGTAAAGAAAAGAACTGATTGCACTGGCATATATACATGGGGGAATAAGGGCTGGCCAGTCGAACCCATCCAACAAACTAATCAAAATCAAAGTTACAACCAGCTGACTGGATCTAACCATAGATTGTTTGGTTTAAAGTTTGATACTCCGTATAAATGATTATACACTTATAGAAACAATAGAATAAACTCCTTCAAAATGTTTGTTCTTTTCTTTTTTTTGGGAAAATCGCATATATGGTCCCTCAGTTATCCACGAAATTAAAATCTGAACCTGTATTTATGAGATTATAAATGTCACCCCTCAATTGTTCAAAATGCTGTAAATGTGGTCTTTTTCAGGGGTGAAATATACAATGTGGTGAACGTACATTTCACCGCTTAAAGAATCACATTACAACAATTTGGACAATTGAGGGGTGACATCTACAATCTCAGAAATACAGGTCTGAAATTTTAATTTCGTGATTTTCCTTTTTTTTTACTTTTTTCAAACTTCTGTCTTGATACCCTTCATTCACCATCTTCTTTGGAGTGAGTTTGTGTAACGAGTAACCAACTAAAGTAATTAAAACTAGTTATACATTTTTGTCGCTTTAATCTAGCATATCATTTTAATTGTTTATCCTTCAATAAACACTACATCTTAAAAATAAAATAAAAAGTGATCTTTCAAACATTTTTTGTACCAAAGAATAGTCCATTTTGATCTAAAAAGGTTGATTTTTCATTTGATTTATCAATCTATAATTATAATTATGTTGATAATTGTAAGTATAATTATTTGATAATAATAAACACTCAATCAAATTAGAAAGATTCAAATCAGAAAAAATCAAATAAGATCATATAAGAAAGATTTATTTATTTCAAATCATATTAGAAAGATTCACATTAGATTAACCATATCAGAAAATTTTATATTAGATTTGATTAGATCTTAAAAAGTTTAGATCGAAAACATCATATCAGGCAAACCATATGGTCAGATGTCATAATATCATACTAGCATACACATACACAGGATGTCTCTAAAGCTATGTTTGAACGGGAGGTTTTGGAGAGGAGGGAGGGAAGGGCCGGGTTATGACTTAGAGTCCCGCTTCGTGTACAGGCTAGGTTACACGCCGGTCAAATTATCTATGTACAGATAATTTGATCGGCGTTTTGTGAAGAAAATCGATTTCCACACAAACTAAAATAAAAAGTTGTCTGTTTCACGAACATTTTAAAGGAGAATTTTTCATAAAATGTCTATGATACAGCCAATTTTTAATTAGAATTTTAAAATGTCTGTGATACAGACAAAATGTTTGTTTTTGTTTGTGAAAATCGGTTTTCTTCATAAAACGCCGATCAAATTATTTGTACACAGATAATTTGACCGGCGTGTACATAGGGAATTTTCCTATGACCGTAGACCAAGTGTAGACCATTTTGAAATACCTATGACACTATTGTGCCGATAAAATTTTTGTTTTTGTTTGTGAAAAAAGTACCTGTAGACCATCCCTTTTATGGGATTTAGACGTTGTAAACAAGATGAGTAGTTTTATGGGAAATTACCCAAAGTAAGAGTAAATGAGGTTTGAAATTTCAAAATAGGACTATTATGTTTTTCTTTCCGAAATAGGAGTTGTTACTGCCATGTATGAAAAATACTGTCATAATTAAAAAATATTGTCATTAATTATAATTAATATTGTCATGTTAAATGCACTATACTGCAACTATTTCGGGAATAAAAACACAGTCCTATTTTAGTCACGCCTACAAGATGATAGTAAATAATGCTATGTTAGTACTATTTCGGGAATAAAAACATAGTAGTCATATTTTGGAATTCCAAACTCCATTTACTCCTATTTTGGGAAATCTCCCTAGTTTTATTGTATTCCCTTCCATCCATGTCTCCACTCCCCTCAAAGCTTTCCCCACCCCTCCTTTCAATAAAACTCCCAAATTAAACCACCGTTTTTGTCTAAGGAAAACGCTACATTTTGCAATCAGGGCCATAGCCCAAATTTATATTTTCTTCTTGTGCCCTTGTCCAAAAATTCTCAAGCTTTACATTTGCAATCAAATTTGATCATTAACTTTTCCATACAATTTACTTTTTAGTTAGCTTTTCCACTAGAGATAAATACTATGCAACACACATTCCCTTCAACTTCTTCTTCTTTCCTCCTCCTCTAATACCAGCTTCGAACTCCTGACGTGGTGGATAGCAGTATCATATCAAACCATCCAAGCCAAAGAGGAGCCGGTACACACATTCCCTCCAAAACTTGGAAGGTAGGTTAACATGAAATCTAAGAGTTCTAGCATCAACTTAGATATTTTGCTATCTCCGCTCCATTGTCGTCACTCCTTATTGCTTGAATCTTATGGTTGCGTTGTGTAGATACATAATTGCAGAAATTTTTATATTAAAGCCCTTCCCTTGCCTGTGAATTTTGTTTCAATATACTTAACCAAGTGTACCAACTATGATCATCCAATATGATCAAGAAGTAGTGATCTCCACTCATAGAGGCAATAGAGAAAGGACCTCATATATTTGTCTACGTATTATATCAAAACAAGCAGCAATACAACTAGTACTTTTAGGGAAACTCGGCCTTTATGTCAAGCAAAACAGGAGGCATCACAAACAATGATTCTATAGATTCGTTTTAAAACATAAAGACATCCAATATGATGCAATTTATTAACGGGGTAAATGGCCTACTTTATAATGCCATGATTGCAATTTTCTTTAATTACAAGTAAAAAACATGAAAACTATCATCTCCCTTTTCACTAGTGTGTTGTCCTCGTTTAATGTAATAGAGGTCATTCTATCTCTTTCACTATATCAGACGTTTTGCATCCATGCATCTCCTGAATAAGACAACAGTCATCCAACACAGTTAAACATAAATGAGATTTTTTGTGAGCTTCCTTGTTGAAATGATGTTAACAATGATAGTAGGTAAAAGTATACTTTAATATCTCTTCCATGAGTACCAAACTGACAGACCCATGTAGTTGTTATTGAAAATTCATATAATCTGCATGCATTAATTAAATAAATAGAAGTAAATAGAAATACTTGGATGAAACCGAGCCCAACGAATTGATGTCTCCTAAAAATGAATTTGCCCACAACACAAGTACCAATCACCTCCCAGGATAGAACGGTTTCTACGTTCCCAAAGGACACTAGCGAACTCAAAGATACAACGTCAATGAAGTAGTAGGTAGTGGGAGAAGGAAGGGAATCAAAATTATAATTTTCGGATTGATGGAAATGCTGGAAGCCATGGGTATATATAGAGCTCCTGTAATAACTCGAATCCAGCTCAGCTCAGGGTCTCTTGTATATATAGATGAAATCAAATCATTAGGTCTCAAACCATTAGGTCAAAGAAGTGAGACCTGAGCTGGATTCGAGTTATTACAGCTCCGATCAAGAGATTCTACACCCAAAAGACAACTTTAGAAAGAATAATTGTGACCCTTCTTCTAAAAATCAAATGGTTGTGTCTATTGTCAAGTATTATCCAAAATTGAGATCAAATAAATAGAATTATCTTTAAGCAGTGCATGTGTTTGAGATATAATTCCACGCTTATCTTTCGGGGGACAATTTCTCATTCATTTCAAAATCGTTTTACACAATATAATATGAAAGTGTTCATCTCACGAAGTACAATATGTTAGGGCTTAGTTCTATTAAAATAGAGAAATGAGTCTCTTACATATTTTAGCTCCAAAATAACCATAATATTAATTTGTAAAACCATTTTTCCAACAATCCCCCCACATGAATGAGAAATTAGCTTAAAGACAGGAAACAGATCAAAATTTGATAGAGGAAGATGGGAACTCTGCATAGGGTTAGGTAGTCGTGAAACTTAGAACCTACCTTAGTGTATATCCATCGGATTTACTGGACAGTCGGTAGCCATTTGCTTTGAACTGTCAACCGTTATGTAAACCTATACAATGAATAACACACAGATCCCCGAGTGCATCTTTGGTTCTCACGTTTGTGTTCGTTTCGACCTTGAACACCTCCTGGTTCAACTAGTGGTTTAGAGAATTTATCTTGTATCAAAGAATTTATCTCGTATGGTACGATAGACTCTCATAGAAACGACCTTTTTCCACCGGCATAGGTGATCTTTATCAAAGGTATCATGTCATACTTTACTTGAACATATCAAGATATAGATATGATCAAAAGCGTAACTTACCCTAAGTGCTGATGGCATTAGTGTACTATATCTGGGCTAGTACCGCCCGAGCTAGTCCACAGTTGTGTTTTCCCTTTGAACCTAATTATGATGCACTCTCAATAATAAGTAGGGTTTCCCCATAGACTTTATCGGATCATTGGCAGTAGGCTCATCGCTCTCTTTGACGTCTCAACCATCACTCTCGGGAGTGGCTTTGTAACACCCCCAAATTTATACCCAAAATTGGTGCTAACTACAGCAGGTGTAGAAAGAATTTCCCAAAACATTTAAGTTCAAAATGGTTTCAATTGCAGCGGAAGCAAAAAAAATTCAATGGATGTTACCGCCACACTCGGTTCTCACATAACCGAATGCACAGGCTAAACCAGCATCCAAAAATAATCCAAGTATTTATGTACTGAAAATTTCAAAAGAATAATTTAAATGTCTACATGTTCTGAAACTGAAATAAACAATAGCTCGGTGATTATAAATACTAAACTACGTAATCTAACGCAGCCCTCATCATCATGCATAACCTTCATCACCTGCACAATTAAAGTGCAGAAAACAAAACAAAGAAAAAGAAACAAAAATTAGCTTTTTAGCTAAGTAAGGCCCACCCAACCCCGTAAAATAATCACGTTTGGCAAAAATAGTTTTTGATATAATACTATATAAAAAAAACTCACACCACCAAAATTCTTTTCTAA